AGCAGCTCAAGGTCCCCCAGTGGCTCACAAGAGTAACTGGAATAAGCTGGTCTTGGTCTTAGGATTTACTGATAGCTTAGGCGTATCAGGAGGAGTAGTCTCAGGCTTGAGACTACTGTGATGGATCCATGCGTCCAGTCCTGCTGATGCACCATCCTGTTGATGCTGCTGTAGGTGAGGATAGAATAACAGGATATGGACGCTCGCATAGTGGGTGACCAAGACATCCCTTCTCATCAGGAGTTTTAACTACGTCCCCAGGGTAGAAGGGGAATCTGTTGTTTCCCTTGAGAGAACCCAGCTTGAAGTTCTTGACAGTATTTTCTGGAATTTTGCTCATTGGATAACATGAAAAATTAGCTTGGCTGTTTCTGGGAATGGCCTGCCATGTAGTGCCTCAAAAAGGGCTAGTCCCTGATAGTCAGTTAGGGATGTTTTTAAATCCGGTTAAAAAGCTAGGGACAATTTTGTCTAAGGAGATCTGGTTTCCAGAATGAGCTTCTTTAAATGAATGCCTCTTTTTGTTGTTGTTGTTGTTTTGAGACAGGGTTTCTCTGTAGCTTTGGAGCCTGTCCTGGAACTAGCTCTTGTAGCCCAGGCTGGCCTCGAACTCACAGAGATCAGCCTGCCTCTGCCTCCCGAGTGCTGGGATTTAAGGCGTGTGCTACCTCTTTAAAAGTTCTTTATCCTCTCCAGCTTGCCTGACAATTGAAGACACTAAGTGCAATGTAGGTGAAGCTGAATTCTTCAGGTTTTAAGTTAGGCTTTCAGTGACTTCTGCCCTAAAGACAGATTTGTTGTTACATGGAGGCATTCAGAAGGCCCAAATCAAGGATTATTTCTGTAAGTAAAATCTTAACCATGTCTGGTGCCCTTTGTGTTTGGCATGGAAAAACTTATCCAGCCTATGAAGGCATTCACTAAAACTAAAGGGACTTAGAATTAGGTCCTCCCCACATTTCAGTGAAGTAAAATTGCCAGTCCTCTCCTAGATGGAGTCCTTGGCTTTGGGGCCCATTGGACTGAAGGTGCCTGTTTGAAGGATTCATCTTTTGGCATATTTCACATCCTTGTGCCACCTATTGGATTACCTCCAGAGACCTTGGCCTAAATATTAAATGCCTTCTGGCTAGTAGAGTGTGTTCCTTCCTAAGTGAGAACATCTGCTGAAGGGATCTTCAAACTCTCTGAGAGATTTTGGTTATAGCAACTGGTCAGCAGGAGTGCCATCGTCTTTAGTCAAAATGGCAGCAAAGGCTTTTTCCTCATTGGAATATTTGCATCGTCTAGGAGCTAGCAGGGCTTCTCCCAAAGAACAGGGCATGACTCAGTGTAGCTCTTGGCTTCTGAATCTGCCCCCCCCCCCCCATTCCCTTTAGCTATACGGTCCTCTCCTATTTGATGCCTGGGAGAGTAGTTTAGAGACAGGTACCAGGGAGGGCAAGAGAATTGCACCAGGAAGCAAGCATAAGGCTCTCTCTTGAGAATGTCTGATGGGGTTTTCTTATGTCTTCGGTAGTCCCCCTTTCTTTCCATATTGCTGTGTGGACCTGAAGAATAGAAAAGTACTTGGAGTCTGTATACATACTGACTCCTTTCCTTGTGTTAATTTAATGCTCTGGTAAGAGCTATCAATTCAGCAAGCTTAGCATCAAAGTTCTGGGACAGTCACTCTGAGTAAGGGTATCAAAACCAGTAGCTATTGTATGCCCTGTGTTACTGCCCCCTAATGCAGTCTGTTTTTATCGCATAGAGTTGCAAGTCTGGTCAGGTGACTGGTCTGAGAGCTGGTGCTCCAGTTAAGGCCTCTTTTCTTTGGAAAAGCCCACTGGATTCAGAGGTCTGTTCAGTCTGAGTGTAGCCCTGGCTTTGAGTTTTCTTGAAACTCTTTGAAAGAGGGACATGGCCAATTCACCATATCTTGGGATCCAAATCATATAATATCCTGTGATTCCTAGGAAGGCCCTCAATTGTTTTAGAGTCTTGGGGAATGGGAAGGCCAGGATAGGTCAGATTTGTTCTAGCCCCAGGACTCAGGTTGCTTCTGCTAGGATATGACCAGGATAAGTTACTCTTTCTAATATACTTGTGCCTTTACCCCATGCCACCTTTCAGCAAGAAGGTTAAAGAGAGGTTCTGAAGCCCAAAAGATAATCTCCTTGGAGAACCTATAAAGATCATCATCTATATATTGAAATAGTGTGCTCCAGTATGTGCCTATTCTATTAAGTCTTAGAAGAGGGCTGGCCCAAAAAGGTGTGGGACATCCTGAAACCTTTGCAGGAGTGTAGTCCATGCAGCCTGTCCAACCCTCAGAGTAGGGTCCTCAAAGGCAGAGGGAGGTCGGCTGCTGGTATGCATGGGAATGCAAATAAAGCATCTTCACTAATACGGAATTGTGAGTGGTGCCAGGAGGAATCTGAATGAGCCTAGTACAGGGATCGGGAATTACTGAGTAAAGAGGAGCAACTGCCCCATTGGTGAGTCTAAGACCTTGAGCTAATCTCCACTTGTTGGATTCCCTTTCTTACTTTCAAGATAGGGATATTATATAGATTTGATCATCAAATTAATGATCTGTGTTTATTTGATATTTTAATTATAGTGATGAGACCATCCCTAACTTCTAGTGTTAAAGGATATTGTGTCTGATGTGTTAAATGGAAAGGATCTTTAAAATGAATGACCATAGGGATGATGGTCCTCTCCTTCCCTATTAATTCCTCATTTGTCTATGTTGTTTGAACAATTTGGATTCTATTAGCACCAGACAGTACTATTTTCTTGGGGAAAGAAGTTTTACGTTGAGTTTGGTCAGGAGATCTCTTTCGAAAGAGTAGCAGGAGTTTGGGGGATTGCCAAAAAGAAGTGACAGAAATAGAGATCTCACCATTAACAAGCAAGAAGCTGGGTAAATAATGCTTAAGGCGCTGGCTTGATAAGCCCCAAATGATAGCCTTTTGTGGGGGGTTCAGAGACAGGGGAGAATGGGAGGGCTAAGAATTGGGTTTCTGTGTTGGTGAAATTGATTTGACTTTCCTCCATTGTAAAGACTTCTCAGGACTCCTCAAGCTGGATTGATCCTCATTGATGGGAGGGCATCTAATCTTCTAGTGATCACCCTTACAAAGAGGGCAGGGTCCTGGGGGAAGGTATTTGTCTCTGAGAGCTTTCTCACCTGAAACAGCCTTCCTGCCTGCATAAGAAATGCATTCCTAGCCGGGCGGTGGTGGCGCACGCCTTTAATCCCAGCACTCGGGAGGCAGAGGCAGGCGGATCTCTGTGAGTTCGAGACCAGCCTGGTCTACAAGAGCTAGTTCCAGGACAGGCTCCAAAACCACAGAGAAACCCTGTCTCGAAAAACCAAAAAAAAAAAAAAAAAAAAAAAGAAATGCATTCCTAACAATCCTAATTGTGTTGCTTGAGGATTCAGCTGCCTAGCTAACTAACAGCAGTTTCTCATGGTGTCTATCCTCTCCTCTTGGTCCTAGTTATAAAAAAAAAAAATCAGTGTAGTAGTTTGTATCAAATTATCCAATGACTTGCCTGGTTCAATCACCAATTTTTGGAGTTATATATATGGCTAATCAAGTCAGGCACTTATCATTTGGATGATCTCTGCCCATAACCCTGGTTCTATATTAATGTATATTTTATAGCCTCTTGAAATCTTTGGAAGAGCATCATGTGAGTCTCCTATCCTTCTGACTTAATGTAGTCAGTTGGGCATGGTTTAAGGGCTTAGTTGCTGACTTTCTGAGAGCTAGTAGTACCCTTAAATCTATTCATTCCTCTGATCCTCTGGATTGAATTTAGGATTGGATTAGAGCTGTATCATTACCAGTGGGAAAGTTCAGTGGGAAAGTTGAGGGGTATTGTTCTTTCCCTGGAGGTGTGAAAGTCATTTCCAGTGGGCATGTCCCACTCAGCTCTAGAAGTGGTGGAGTTTGTTCTAGCAACAGCATGCAGAATTATAAAGTTGGCTTACTCTTCAAAGGTGTGGACAGGCTGAACTGGGCCGTCAATAAAGCTCCTAGGTCTCTGTTAGTTCTGACAGAGAAAGGGAGCCATGCACATAGGTTGTCCCAGAGTCCCTTCTGGAGATCCGCCTAATTGAAAACATTTCTTGTGGAAGAAAGATGTGCTGTGTACTGTGGCTGGCCACCGTGGGGGACAGCATTTCCCACTGGGGAGGGGTCTGCTCCGTCTGACAGGCTGCAGATTGGGATGAGCAACCAGAAGATTTGAAGGGATGGAAACAATCATGTTGTGCAGTTCATGAATTTGGGGATTTGGATACTTTATGGGAGGTTCCTTGCCCTTTAGCTCCTTTTTGAACTAGAACACATCACAGCCAAAGTGTAAGAGTACAGTTTACACAATTGGACCAGTTCAGGGTGATCCTTCAAATAAAAAAGTACAATTGAACATATGGGATCTCAGTCTATTTTCCCTTTTGCTTGCAAAGCAGATTGAGTGGGGTAATGATATTGCAGTTTAAACTGCTTCTGGAGGTCTGGATTCCCAGTCTCTTAGTGAGTATTCTAGCCAGGCCTGGACAGGAGAAAAAGAACCTTTTCCTTAAGACTCTGAGGGTCAGTCATACCCAGTTTTTTAGGAAACAGCAGGGGAGAATTTGATGTGATCTTGGATAGCGTCAAACCCGTCTGAAAGCAATAGCAAAATGTGAGCATTCCTCTGAGAGCCGTCTCTCTTCTCACTGTGCCCTGTGCCCAGAGGGGTGCCTCTGGTCCGGAGAGCCCTCATGGTTTTAGACATTACTTCTAACTTGTGATGTAGTGGAAGGAACTTTTCCAGGGACAGAATGGCTTATATTTTACATACATGCATATTTAATATTTGCACATGTGTGTAAACATACATGTAAGTAAAAGACGTAAGGTTTAGAAAGGCTAGCTGGTTCATTGCTTAATTATTTTAATCTGCTATCTAAGTTTTTTTTTTTTTACTATTATCTTGACTTTTTTTTCCTCCTTTAGATTACGAGAGCTTATTGTTCAAAACAAGACTGATGACCTGGGGAAAAAAGACGAGCCCAGCAAAGACAGCCATCATCAGGCTCTAATTGACCAGAGGTACTTTCAGGTACTGAATAGCTGCTGAAAAGACTGGTGTTTGTTGTGATCCTTGATTTTAATTGCAGTACAGTTTGCTATCACTTGGTAAGGAATGTTTGTACAGACAGCTCTTGGTATCTTTGGGGATGTGGTTCCTTGATACTCATGGATGCGTGTAGCACCTGCCTGTACATCATGGGACGGTTCGCGAGTCAGGCAAGGAACTGGAGATTGAAACACACACACACACACACACACACACACACACACACACACACACAGAGAGAGAGAGAGAGAGAGAGAGAGAGAGAGACATGGGTCATCCTTGAACCAAAAATGCCCCCTTTATTGTGTTCCGGGGCAGCTTATATAGGGCAGAGGGGGGGGGGGGGAGAACGAGCACGCGCACCATATATGGCCACTCCTAGCTCTCAGGATTTTTCAGCTGCCAGCCCACCAGAAACCACTCCCCTGCCATCAGGAACTCATGAGGGTCTCGTGCCAGAGCCGCTGCAAGCATAGGAAAGCAAGTTGTCTACTCCAGCAGGCAAGGGGTCACAGAACATTCAGGGTCTGAGGGTCTGCAGTCCCCAACAGATGCCTAAATCTGCAAAATCCCTCATAGAATGGAATTGAGGTGTGGCTTGAATGTGTGTTTGAATATGTGATCTTCAGCCATTTAGAAAGGTTTTGGAACCAATAGGAGATGGAGCCTGTTGATGTCACTGGGATCAGGCCTTGAGGCTTGATAGCTTGGCCCCATTTCTTGTTCAGTCTTTACTTCCTGAGTGTGGATGCAGTGTCACCTGCCAGTCTCCAGCTCTTACCACCATGCCTTCCCTGCCTGCTGCCATGTCTTTCCATGGACTGTACGCCTCTGAAGCTGTGAGCCAAAATGAAACCCTTTCTCCCATAAGTTGCTCTTCTCAAGGTATTTCATCACAACAACAGAAGACTAAGACAGAGTATTTTCCTATAGCCCACCCATATCCTCTCTGTAATAACTACTATTATAATAATTATAATAGTACAGTATAAACCCTATAACAATATTAAGATTTTTTTATTCTCTACCAATGTAAACCATTTGCCCTTCTTTTTGTTGTTGTTTTATGATATTTGTTGTTGTTTTTTTTTTTGTTTTGTTTGTTTTTTGAGTCAGGGTTTTTCTGTGTTGCTTTGGAGCCAGTCCTGGAACCAGTTCTTATAGACCAGACTGGCCTCGAATTGACAAAGGTCTTCCTGCCTCTGCCTCCCAGTGCTGGGATTAAAGGTGTACTCCACCACCATCCGGCTTGTGCCACAACCGCCCAACTGCTGTTTGCCCTTTTATTATTCCATTTGTTGATGCTGGTATTATTATATAACTAAATCTTCAAATCTTTGCATAGCTTTGATTTGGTTTAAATTATCTATGTGATGTAAAAAAACTAACCTTACTGGTTTTATAGACTGTTTATTGAATAGATAAGCAATTGAGTCTAATAGTTTATTGAATGAAGTGGACTTGCATTTTTTGGTTCCCCGTAAGTTTTTGTGTTTGTCTGTCTCTCTGTCTCTCTGTCTCTCTCTCTCTCTCTCTCTCCTACCATTTTATGTTTATGCATACATTCCTTTCTAGATTCTGCAGTCTGTCCCATTCCGTTACTATTCCAAGCTCTTTTGCAGCTTTCCAGTAGGTTTTTATACCATTTGAATTTAAAATTCTTTGCTTAGATATATTTGAGCACATTTGCTCTTCTGGATGAACATTTATTAAAATAAAATCCCACTAGGATGAATTGAAATATGATCAATTTTATTAATATTTGGAGAAATGATAATTTACAATTTTAAATCATCCTATTCAGAAACATATCTCTAATTTTGGGAGGGTCTTTTATAGCTTCCCATAAAGTTCTATATATTTTAAATTTAGTTCAGATGTCTTTCTTGTCAGGTTTATTTTCTAGATATTTAATGACTTTCATTGTTGTCGTGAATAAGTTCCAGGCAACTCTGTGAGAATTTTCTTTTAGCTGTCCAGAAGTGTGTAACTGGGGTTCTTCCATTTGCTCTCTCGGGCTCAGTCTGAGAACCTATGAGTGCAGACACCAGCTCTCACCTCACTCTTCCTTTTGGCATCCTACTTACTGCTTTTCATATACTTGGTTTCCTGCTCTACTCTTTGGTTTTCTTTCTTTTTCTGACATTTGCTAGATTGACAGATGTTTCTTTGTCCTTTTTAATCTTTATTTTGTGTTGTTTTTGTGTTTTGAGACAAGATCTCACTATGTAGACCAGGTTGGCCTTGAACTCATAGATCACCTACCTGTACCTCCTGAGTGCTGGGATTAAAGGCCCGTGCTACCCTCCCCTTTTTTTGTCCTTTAAAAAAGTTCCTAGATGAATTAATTAACTTAATTTTCCTTTTCTCTGATTACCTTTGGAATGCTTTAAACAGCAGCAACACAGGGAGTTTATCAGTGTCTATGAACTCTCTGAATGAATGACAGGGAATTACTGCTTCTCTTTTAAAAATTCTTACTCTGCAGGAGCTAAGTCACTTTATGTTTCCCCATTGTTGCTATATCTTTTACTGCCAATCATCAAAAAGTCAGTTAATTCATACAGGAAAATATAAATTACCATCAGTAAAAATTCTGATAGGGGAATTAATTCTTTCATTAAAATAATTAGTTTATTTATAGCTGAAATGAAATATTGACCATATGTTTTCATGAAAACTAAGTCTTCTAAATAACTTCTGAAGTCATATTACCAGGAGACCCATTAGTTGCAACTTGAAGTATGCAAGGACAGAAATTCAAGATCAAAATGCTGATCTCATCTTCATACTCTATTTGTGTATGTGCATGTGCATGTGTGTGGTGCACACATGTGCATTCATGCATGCATGGGAGCCAAGTGTACACGTGGAGGTTAGTGAACAGCTTATGGGTGGGCCATGTGGTCCTGGGATGGAACTCAGCTTGCTGGTAAGCATGTCATTTCATTAGCCCTCATCTTCATACTTAAAGACTATTTCTTAAATACAGTAGACTTGATAATAAGTAGGAAATGACTTTTATTATGTATGTTTTGTTTCTTAAATACCATAAAGGGCACATTTGCTTATGAAAGGGTGGAGACAGGAGGGCAGGTAGTACCTAAACACAGGGCATCTTACAGAACCTGGAGTCTCATTAAAACACTTTCTAAAAGGCTCTGAAGTTACTTGAAGAGGTAAAAGAAGGGAGAAAACAACCAAGGCTGAGAGAATGATATATCTTACCTGTCTTTGGGTGATGACTAATGGAGTACTCATCACATCTAGAGAGAGTCAAATAGTATATATTAAGCTTTATTTCAAATATCAGTGATATTGTCAGTTTTCTTCAGTGTGATAGTGGCACTAGATTGTGTAGACTATACCAGCTTTAAGGGATGTGTGCTTTACTATTTGAGGGTAAATAAGGTTGATAGCTGCATTTCCTTCCATTGGTTCTGAACCTGCAGATAGAGCGAGCTCCTCTAGGAAAGTGTTCACAGTTTCTGGATCTAGGTAGTGACTGTGTGCTTGTGGTGGTTAATTTTATGTCAGCTTGACTGGGCTATCCACTGCCCAGATACTTGGTTAAACAGTATGCCTGTGAGTGAATTGGTGCACAAATAGATTGTCCTCCTATGGTAGGTAGATCTCATCTAACCACTTACAGAACAAAAAGATCAGGGGGAAATTCTATGCATGCTTTCAACATGTTTTTTTGTTTGGTTTTGGTTAGTTCTCCTATCTTTAGATTTGAACCAAAATATCAGATTTCTAGGGCTTTGGGACTACTATTCTGGGTCTCTCCACTCAGATTTGTAACTGATAGTCGTGGGGTTCCATTAATTGCATGATCCAGTTCATTATATTAATTTTTTTAAAAATATGGTAATCTCTTTCTCGTATGTGTGTGCATTTGAGTCTTGGAGTGGCTACACAAGGCCCACTTTATATACACACGAATACATTTACTGTTGGTGGTGTTTCTTTGGCAAAGCCTAAAACACTGTTTAACACACACACTGAAGTTTTTGTCTGTTTAAGATGTTGGTGATTGTTTGTTTAATTTTATTTTGAGGTAAGGAAGGTCTCATTGTATAGTCCTGACTGGTTTGGAACTTGCTAGCCAAGCTAGACTTGGACCCCCAAAGATCCTCTTGCCTCTGTCTCTGGAGTACTGTGATTAAAGTTTGGATGTGCCACCATGCCTGGCTTATTTTAAATGTTTTATAATGAAAAGAAGGGCGATTTAAAACAATCTATTCAAACCTCAGCCGAAAAGTATTCTAGCTCAGACCTGACCTGTTCTACAGCATGGCCAAGGGATGTGTTGTCTTTGCTCTATTGTTTCTTCTGGTCCCCTGCTAAGTTTGACTTTTCTGGAGTGGCAGTGAAGGGTAGACAGTGGATGAGGAGAGAATGAGGATGGTTTCTTTCTTTCTGGTATAGCTATATTTCAGTGCTGGTGCCCTTGGTGGGGCTGACCTCCAAATATAGCCTCTGCTTTTCTTTCCTGGAGTGTGTGTGTGTGTGTGTGTGTGTGTGTGTGTGTGTGTGTGTGTACGCATGTGTGCATGTGCATGTTTTCTCCTTTCTCTTAAGCTGGGACGTTTAACAACACAGCATTTATTTTGTGTGCATTTTAGTACTGACGTCTTATGAGGAAGTACCCTTAGGAGCTGTACTGCTATGGTCCTCCAGCCATAGACGGTTGTTTTTTTAATTTTCATGAGAGTAAAGCTTATCTCCGTCTCAATGTTCCTAGTTGGCCTGAACCTATTCTTACCCTGTCACAAGATAGAGGGTTAGGTTTCTCTTGCTGCCCCGTTCTTCTCCATTGTGATGTTCACATATGGCTCAGTTCATCTTTGCTATGTGGCAGACATCTTCTAAAACTTAGTGATGCCCTTTAATAGTATCATGCTTGAACAGTAGATACGTCTGCTAATATTGGCCATACGTTGATGGTGAGTCATTAGAGCTCTTCTGTGGCAGTTGAGTGAATTTTCTGTCTCTGTGATGGGGATGAATGGGCCTGAGTAGCTCTGCCTGGACTTGGCCATGTGGCGGCAGCAGAGTGTAAACAGTGATGTAGACTACTTAAGAACTTTCCCCCCTTTGACTGGGCGTCATAGTGCACACTCAAGAGAAACAGGCAGGTGGTGAATCTCTTTGAGTTCGAGGCCACCCAGAGCTGTTATACAGAAAGACCCTGTGCTGAAAAAAAAAAAAAGCAATTATTTTAAAAGACCCAAACTGGCAAGACATTCATTTTAGTAAATTCTGTGGATATAAGCAAGACCCAAGATTAGCCCAAATTTAAAGGGTAAAAAGTCTCTACATTTTGATGGGAGAAACTGCAAGTCACGATGCAAGCATGCAACAAAACAAGGACAAGAAATGGCTGCACTCATTTTTATATACAGCCTGAAAGTGTACCATGGTGTGAAGGGCATGAACGTGCCCTGTGATCTTCTGAGCACCAACTCCCTGCATCTTTCAGGTCACCCACTACCTTCCTGACCTTTGGTGTCAGGGAAGAGGACTATCCCTCTGCTTTGATTCATAACTTGGAGAAGAATGTGATTTTTTTCTTTTTGTTTTGTTTTGGTTTTTGGGTTTTTGAGACAGGGTTTCTCTGTAACCTTTTAGAGCCTGTCCTGGAACTTGCTCTGAAGACAAGGCTGGCCTCAAACTCACAGAGACCTGTCTGTCTCTGCCTCCCAAGTGCTGGGATTAAAGGTGTGCGCCACCACCACCCAGCAATTTTTTTCAATTATTTGATAGTAATACATGAGTTTATAATAGAAGCAAAATGTCAAAACACAGAGCCTCAGAAGTTGGGTTCTGAGAGCACCTGTTTGTTCTAGCTACCTCCGGGCAGACGAGAACAGCAGTGTTTCTGCCTCACTCCAAAAACCCTGTGTAGACACTCTCAGAGTCCCGTCTCAGGTATTTATAGTGTTTGTTAAGAACTATTGGGGGCTGGAGTAATGGCTCAACCAAAAATATAAGAATTATTGGACTGGCTGGCCAGGACTTCTCTGCAGAATGTGTGGGGCTTAATGAGTAACTATATTTAAAATTCCAACTGAAATTGTGAAACAAGTAGAAAGCTCCTCTTAATCCCATACTTAGCTCAACTAATGAGAAGACAAATAGGAATCATTGCGACTTAGATAAGGATGTCTAGATAGTTGTTATTCTGTGTGGAGTATAGTGGATGGTAACTGCTTTCAAACCTAAATTAGTAAAAATTTATTCAGTTTTCCTTAGAATTTGTACATCTATGCTAATGAGACCACATTACCCCAATATTTTAGAAACATCTGGAAATGATGTCGTGTTGGCACCTGATGCATCCTTTCCCTACCTCGCGGCGTCAGATTCAGACATGTTAACCACAGATACTGTCCATGGTTGCAGGTGCTGTGCAGCATCAATTCCATTATTCATAATCCTCGAGCTCCAGTGATTATTCATAAACAGAGCAAGGGAGGAGCCCAAAACTTCAATAAAGATATTGTCCAAGATTGTGGATTTGAACATCTCGTTCCTGTAATAGAAATGTGGGCAGATGAACTGACGTCCTTAAAGGTATGTTGAATATTCTTCACACGTTTTGAAAATCTGTTGAACTTGGCTTTTCTTGTTCTTTAACTATAAAGCTAATGACACTTTTCTAAAATTGGAATATTACTGCTTACATATTTTGTTCCATTTTGTTTTTGAGACCAAGTCTAACTGTGTAGTCCTGGCTAGATTGGAACTAACTCTATATAGAGGCTGGATTTGAACACATAGATATCCACCTGCTTCTGCCTCCTGAGTCCTGCAATTAAAGGCATGTGTTACCATGCCCAGCCTTCATGTTTCCAATTCTGTAAATTTGTTGCTATTGTTAAGCTTGCCTCCTCTAAAGTTTTACCATAGCAAATGTGTAGACTTTACCTCACTGAGAATCGGTAGTGGACCCACCTTTGTAGTCTAAGCTCTTTCCTGTTCTGCCCTCTCACTCCTGCTGATGTCTTGCTGAGCATGTCCTGACCTTTGCACATGCTCAGATGCCGTGTCGTAGCCTTAGTTTCTTCTTAGCTGGGATTGCTTGTTCTGTCTTCACATTTTATTTTTCTTTCTCAGAATTGAGTTTATTTCTGTGTTTGTCTAATTGCTAGAGAAGGTGATAGTTAGCAAGCAACTGGGAAATGAACTGTACTCTCATTTGATTTATAGATCATTGTATATTCTTTATTGTGTAACTTGAGTTCATTACATTTTTCTTGATTGGTTTATTGAGAAGTGATTTGCTATAAAGTTAACAGTATTGCATTTCTTTTTAAATATTTATTTATTTATTATGTATACAATGTTCTGTCTGTGTGTATGTCTGCAGGCCAGAAGAGGGCACCAGACCTCATTACAGATGGTTGTGAGCCACCATGTGGTTGCTGGGAATTGAACTCAGGACCTTTGGAAGAGCAGGCAATGCTCTTAACCACTGAGCCATCTCTCCAGCCCCAACAGTATTGCATTTCTGTGCCTTTTGAACTTTAGATTTTTTTCAGTAACTAATATCATACAGAATTCTGCTATAGTTAGTGAAGATATGATTCAGTGACAGTATTTGTCAGCATTTTGTCCTAATGCCCAAAGAACCTTATAAAGAGCGAGTGACTTCTTGGGAACAAAAAGTTTTCTTTGTTCTTATATGCCTCAAAGATCTTCATGTACATGGGTGCTCAATTAATATCCAAATTGTTCAGAATAACTATAGTCCCAGACAATTAGAGGTGCTTTTTATTTGCTTTGTTTTGGTCTTTTTTAAAAAAATAAATTCTTTATTATACACACACATATATATTTTAGTTTCTTGAGACAGGGTTTCTTTGTATAACCACCATGACTGTCCTGGAACTCACTTTGTAGATCAGGCTAGCCTCGAACTCACAGAGAGCCTCCTGCCTCTGCCTCCCAAGAGCTGGAATTAAAGGCATGTGCCATCACTGCCTAGTATTTTTGTTTTTGTTTTTGTTTTTTTTTTTGAGACAAGGTCTCTATTATGCAGTCCTGGGTATCCTAAAACTCCTGTGTAGACCAGGCTGTCCTAAAACTCAAAGAGATTCACCTGCCTCTGCCTTCCAAGTTCTGGGATTAAAGATGTGCACCACCGTCACCCAGCTTGATGGTTTTGTTGTTGTTTGTTTTTTAATTTATAAAATCTTATCTGCATAAAACTCATGAAAGAATCTTGTCAGTCAGCCTACATTTTATTTCCTTTTTTTCTTTAGAACTTGGACAAAGCTACATAATATGTAGACATTTTATTTGAATGACAGTGCTGGGTTAATAATTTTATATATCTGAGTTTCTCTAGTTTGTTTCTCAGAAAAGGCTGAAATAGAGATTGACTTGTGGAATCTGTCATTTCCCACTCACTGCTTGGCAGAGAGCTCTCTGTAGGAGGTAGCAGTGCTAACTACTGTTCTCCCTTTCAGGAAAGTTAGACTAGAAATAGCCCTCGTCTTTCTAGCAGAAGGGAAAGACTAGATGAGAAAGGTGACAAAGGCAAAAACCAAATTAATAGGCACAGTTGTTTTTCTACGTGTCAGATAACAGGGAACGTGTTGCAAAAATGTGAACATAAAATTCAGACTAATTGGAGAGGTGAAATAATGCTAAAACATGACATTTTAAATAACTATGGCATATGTTGCTAGGAAAAACTGAGTGCCATAAAGATGGACAGCTGCGGTGAGGGAATGAGATGTGTGACTTGTCCTCCAGGGTCTGGTAGGCGAGGTCACTCTGGTCACAGCGTCCAGGAAAGGCTTACAAGAGTGCTGAGTTCTTGTCACTCTGTAGTTTTCTGAATAGGAGGAGGCAGGAAATTAGCTTTATACTTAGAACGTTGTAAGGACGGCCATGCCTTGGTGGCACACACCTTTAATCCCAGCTTTAGGAAGGCAGAGGCAGGTGGATCTCTGTGATTTTGAGGCCAGCTTGGTCTACAAGAGCTAGTTCCAGGACAGGAACCAAAGCTACAGAGAAACCCTGTCTTGAAAAAAAATTATTGTAAGGACACCTGAGGCCATTGACTAGAATTAGCATCTTCTGCTCATGGCCTTTAGGAATGCTTCTATTATTTATAATACAGGTTCAGAATCCAGCTTGGAGAGTACATGAATCCCTTTGGTGTCTCATATGGGCAGTTTTTTATAATGTAGAACTTTCTAGTTTTGGGCAGACATATTCCCAGTTAATATTTTTTTCCTTAGGTTTGATTCCTGACTTAAAAGAGAATGATGGGTTTGAGAGATGAATGGAAAAGAGAAATGTAGCAATACATACTATTACTACATGTTTGCCTATTTATTTTTGAGACAGGCCTCATTATACAAGTCTGGCTGCCCTGGGATGTACCTTGTAGATCAGGCTGACCTTAAATTCACAAAGGTCCACTTGCTTCTGCCTCCTAATGCTGAGATTAAAGGCATGTGCCACTAAGCCTGGCTTTAGTATATGTTTTATTTTCAATGAACATATAATTATACACGTGTGAGGGATAGTGATATATATATATATATATATTTGAGTAGAATCACTGTTAAGAACATCAGTAATTCTCAGCCATGCTTGCTTTACTTACCCTGCTGTGGTATAGAACATCCCAGATTATTTCTCTTATCCAGCTCACCCTGACTGCTAACCATCCTGTCTCCATTCCTTCTTACTCAAACTCTTCTCAGGCTTTGGGAACCACTATGTGTCTAACCTTTGAAACTTTTACCTTTAAGTCAGAATATGTGGTATTTGTTTCTGTTTTTATTTCACCTAACGTAATGTCTTCCAGTTCTGTCCATGTTGCAGTAAACGACAGATGTCATATTTTTTATGGCTGATATCATCATATACATGTGCATGTTTGTATCACACATACACACACTATTTCTTTTTAGCCAATCATCTATCGTTAGACGCCTAAATTGATCCCATATCTTGGCAATTCTGAGTAATGCTTCAGTAAACACATGAGCTCTGGCATCTTTTAAACACACTTTAGTTTCATTTTATTTGGATACATATCCAGATGTAAGATTGTTAGGTTATGTGGCAGTTTTCTTTAGTTTTTTAGAAACCTCTATGTACTGTTTTACACGATGGCTATACAATTTTCATTCCCATCAATAATAAATGCAGGGGATTCTCAAAAGAATCATGGTCACTTGTATGATTTCATTTACATAAAATGCCAAGTGTAAGCAAATCCATAGCAGCAAGTAGTGGATTAGTGGTTAAAGAGGCTGGAGGATAATAGAAAAGGACTTTGTGGGTGTGGGATTTTTTTATTTTTAAAATTTGTATGTGTATGAACATTTTGACTGCATATGTGTTTGTGCACATGCGTGTCTGGTTCCCGTGGAGGTCAGAAGGGGGTGTCAGACCCTCTGGAACTGGAGTTATGGATGGTTGTGAACCATCATGTGGGTATTGGGAACTGAACCTGGGTCTTCTGAAGACCAACAGGAGTTCTTTGTGCCAAGCGATCTCTCCAGTCCTATGTGTGGGACTTGTTCTTGGAAGATGGATAGGTTCTGAAATTAGACCGTGGTGGTATTTTGTGCCATTGTGAAAAGATGCGAACCATCAAATTTCGCTAGTAAAGGTGAGTATTTTGATATGTACATTTTATCTCAAAGGTGCTGCAGAAATATTTAAAGCCTAGGCTAGGCATGAGGCTCAGGGGTGAAGTATTTGCCTTGTGTTTATGAGGGAGGCTTAGGCTTTCTCCAGCACTGATAAAAAACAATCTAAAAAACAATAGAACTACTTAAATAACATTATTGCTTAAAGCATCTAGACTTCTTTTAAGTTGGCAATGATATTAAAATATACTGATGATGATTATATAGCTATGTATTTTTAGACCACCTTATTACTGTTGTTAGTGTTAAAGTACAAACTATTTTATAACCAATAATGCATGTAGTTTCTTTTGTTGTAAAGGATTTGTATAAGTCCTTAAAAATACTGTCTGCAGCACTGGTACCTTGGCATAATTTAAAGAAACCGGATGAAAATGAAGGTGTCAAAGTAGAAGATCTGTTGTTTATGGTAGATACCATGTTGGAAGAGGTTGAAAACAAGAAGGAGGTAAAACTTGATACTTACATAACTTTACATTTTAAAGTTTTTTTTATTAAAATTTTTAATATTATTTCAAATTGTAAACTATCTTTTCACCTTCTTCTTATAGAGCCCCAACATGCCAAACTTTCAAACTTTGCAAGCTATTGTTTCTCACTTCCAAAAGCTATTTGATGTGCAGTCTTTAAATGGAGTCTATCCCCGGATGAATGAAGTGTATACCAGGCTTGGGGAAATGAACAACGCGGTGAGAAACCTCCAGGAGCTCTTAGAACTAGGTGATGACCCTTGTCATTTTTGGCACTGAGTTAAGAACTATTCTTAATACATTAACAAAAAATAGGTGTGGGGTTTTTGTTTTGTTTTGCTTTAACAGTGTTGCCTTGCTCTCACTGTAGCCAAAGCTGACCTCCAACTCCTGATCTTTGTCCTTCACCTCCCAAGAGCTCCGGTTGCACCCCACAAAAGTCCTTTTAATTAAAAAGCAAAACAACAACAAACCCACAAAAAGGAAAAAAGGGGATAGGAATATAGCCTAGTTGGTAGAATGCTTGCCTAGCATGCACGAACTCTGGGTTTGATTCTCAATACTGCATAATCAGGGCATGGTGGTGCACATAGAGAATCCTTGTACTCAGTAGATGGAGGCAGGAGGATTAGAAGTTCAAGGTCAGGGGTTGGAGAAATGGCCCTTCAGTTAAGAGCACTTGCTGTGAAATTATAAGGACTGGAGTTTGCATCCCATCACCCCTATAACAAGCCAGACATCTCCAAATTTCTGTAACTCCAGCTACAAGAATTCCAACACCCATTTCTGGTTTCCAAGTGTGTAAAAGGACTTGCATACACATACATACATGCATACACACATTCAGATCTTTTTGTTTGTTTTCAACAACCACCATGTGAAACCACCCTGGCTGGCCTCGAACTCAGATCCACCTGCCTTCTGCCACCACCACCTGGCAAATCTTTTTTTAAAAATTCAAGACCCTAGCTTAAAACAACCACCCCCAGACAGGGTTGGAAAATGGCTCAGTAGTCAAGAACACATTCTCTGCAATCATGAGTCCCAAGCTGGACATGCTCGGAGGAGAATGGGGACAGAATTGTTGAGGCCCACTGGCTTCTAGCCTAGCTAAGAAAGTGTGAACTCCAGGCTCAAAGAGGTAGTGTGTCTTAAAGAAATAGGCAAAGGGTGATAGAGGAAGACACCCAATGCTTTCTTCTGGCCTCTGTGTTTTCCGAGGTACACACCCCCATATACTTACACAGACACACAAACATGTAAGCTAATATAAATAAATATTAATCCTTTTCTCCACCAAAATAAAATTAGTAACTGAAGCAGGAAATGTTAGATGAGTGTAATGATTTTGGAAATTCTTTTTTTTTTAAATATTTTATGTTTTCCTTTCTCTTTTGCAGACAGTTCATCCTCATTGTGTGTGCTAGTCAGCACAGTTGGAAAATTGTGTAAGATAATTAATGAGGATGTGAATGAGCAGATTAAGCAAGTCTTAGGACCTGAAGACTTACAAAGGTATGTATATGTTAGAAATGTATCCAAAATGCTTCAAGTGCTGCGAAGTAAAGACTTCCAAAGCTTTATAAATTACTTATCAGGAGTGACAGCGTCTGGGTGTCCTGAAATGCTGTGTAGACCAGGGTGGCCTTGAACACAAAGAGCTCTGCCTGTCTCTGCCTCCAGAGTGCTGGGATCAAAGGTGTGTGTCACCATGCCTTTCAAAAATAACTTCATAGCCCTAAAGAATCATATACCCTTGGATATGGAAAAAAATGTCACATGTACTCAAGAAAAAATTGTCAGGGCTTATAAACTCACATAGGGCAGCTGGAGACTCTAGCAGAAACTCACTCCCAAGGGAAATTACAGAGAGAGAAATTAAAGTCTTTATAATTAGTTCCTGAATTGAACTATGACCTATACTCTTTCTAGGACACTACCAAACTACTGAGTCATTACTAGTCACCTACTTTTTTGTTTAGAAGATAAATATTAAGGATTTTTAAAAGATTAGGCACCACTAATATAAAACCTAATATATATATTATGGGGCTAAGGCAGATATGTAGCTCAGTGGTAGAGCTTGTGTTTACGAGGCATGTAACTCTGGTTCTCTCTCCAGTAACCCCCACTCCAATAAATAATTCCCCCCAGACAGTGAGGCCTTCAACAACTTTCAGCAAACTATGGAACACACACACACACACCAACCCCTCACATCATCCATATATTCTGCAAGTTTTCCTGGAAGAACCTGGCAGTGGAGTCTTCTCATATTTAATGTTTTTCCCTTTTGGTTTCTCCCCTCCTTTCCACTGTTTTTCTGATGATTGGTACTTAACGTCCAATAGCATACTGGGTAGAGAAGCCTGTTTTTAGCAAATATTCTAAATAAGATGATTTAAGAAAATAAAAGGAAAATGGTAACCGGGTGAATTGAGATCTTAAAAGGAAAGGATTGCTGTAGTTGATCATCACATTTATATTCAATTTAGCAAGTTAGTTTCTTCTCCGAAAAGTTTTGTCTACAACTACCTGTTAACGATCAAATGCAAAAACCTGAAGTTGGAAGCTTTTGTAAACTGTGTATTTTTTAAATAGCATTATCAACAAATTGGAAGAACATGAGGAATTTTTTCCAGCATTTCAAGCTTTTACTAACGATCTTCTTGAAATCTTAGGTAAGATCTGTTGATGGTGGCTGAATCTCTTAAGATGTCAGTGGGTTTGAGAGAAGGGTGTTCTTTAGACACTGGGCTCCTGGTTACTTTAGGTGTTTGGTAGGAAGTGTAAAAAGTCGTAACTACTTTTCAGAATTAATCCTTACTAATTAGGATTAATTCTCAGAATAGAAAAAGACAGCTATAAAGAGATAGCAACTATTTCTTTTCTTTTTAAATATTTATGTGTATAACCGTTTGCCTGTATGTATGTATGGGCAGATGCCTGTGGAGGCCAGAGGAGGTGGTCGGATCCCCTGGAACTAGAGTTACAGACAGTTATGTCTTGTTAGTTCAGGGAACTGAACTCAGGTCCTCTTACAAGAGCAGCGGGTACTTTTAACTGCTGAGCTATCTCTCCAGCCCTGTGAGACTCTTGTTTTGGGGCCTTCTCGTTAGAAATGGCTTATTCTGTGAGACTCTTGGCTCTGTCATTGTGACCCTACTATTAGAGATGTGCCGGGATAAGGGAAAGTCTTTTGTCAGTGAGCAGGAGCTGAAGAATGTGAATTCTGGCTAAGGCTCACTGAAATTTAATGCCTTAGAAGAAAAATCAAACTCAGAAGGTAGCCTCTGAAGAACCTGAACTGCTTTGTCTGAAAATGCAGACCAGAACCAGCCATGTCCCTGAGGTTTGTTTTGTTGTTGTTCTGGGGGTACCATACACCTCTTACTGAACAGATCTCCCAAAAGAAGGGCTGAGAGCACTCCACTCTGAGACTAAAAGGATCAAGAAGGAACACTGTGTTCCTTAAGAAGAAATCAATTCCCAAATCCTTAAGTGGAGACCCAGAAAAGAGATGCATTGTCTGGCTAGGACGCATGTTGGGACCCATGTTGGCTGTACAGATTTAAGAGGTACCAAGGTACCATAAGTGCAGCCAGCTGGATGTATTACCAGGGTTTTGCTGATGATAAAAATCAATGCCATAGTCAAAGGGAAAATTGCAAATGCTCTATGAAACACCTGTGCGAGGCAATGGTCACATACAGATAGCTAATCTTGGAGAAGACTCCATGTGTGTGAGAGCACTCATTGCTATTGCTGCCCTAGGGTTTGAATTTTGTCTGTGAAGTCTTTCTTATTTTTATGAGCTTTTCACTAGAAAAATTACTCTCTTTATAATTTGTATTTTTTCTATTACAGAAATTGATGACTTGGATGCCATTGTACCTGCAGTAAAGAAATTAAAAGTACTTTCATACTGAAAACAAATTAAATCATTTTTACTGTGTAAATTGTATTCTTAACATTCTAACTATTTTAAAGAACTGATCCTGAGACAAGATTCTAAAATGTTATCAGCTCTCAGAATTCATCCTCTTGCCATTGGGTCATTCTCAATCCATATAAGTTTTAGTTTTTGATTATTTAATAGAAAGTAGCTGCTAAGTTAATAAAATAGTACAATAACTTTAGATCCCTTATCACTTCCTAAGTAATGCTTGAGTGTTTTAAAATGTAATGGTTATTTTAAGGTAGAGATTGTGCATAGCAAAAGAGACTCAGGGATATTTGTAAATTATAGATACTTGTATTTAAGTTCAAGGCTTAATGACTTTTTGGTCAGAGAAGAAAGAATGTCAGTTGCTTTCTAAGCCCAAGCAAAAGGAGGCCACTGCCTTCCAGGCAAGGGCTAATGGGCATATTCTATTAAAATACCTTTCAAAGCAGAAAGATAGTGTCTTTGTATTAAGGTAGGAAGTTAATCATGAGTGAAATAGATGATTAGGTAGAATACTTTTCAGAAAAAAATGAATATTTATTTGCAATATTGATGTAATGTACTTTTATAAAGAAATAAAATCACAAATAAAATTTTTGTAGACTTTCCAGATGTAAGTGTTCCTAGTGGCGATATGTATTGCTCATAAATAATGAGTCATGTTATTTCTTTGGTCATCGATTCCTCCTTACTGCATTTTAGGTAAGAGTCCTGTTCTCACTGATTTCTGCTTATTCTCTACGCTCTGTATTCAGTATGATGCGGGGGGCAGTGTTCTGCATGACATCTATGAACACAAGCTACTCTAGGCTACCCCATGTCCTTCTTTAAAGGTGCCATTCCTACTGGTTGATAGGAATTATTGTCATAAAGTGTTTCTAGGAAACAGCATGGTAGTATGGAGAGTGCCAAAAAACAGGCAGGTTCTTTCTTACTTTAAAATTCTTTGCTTTCTTAACCTGTAGTTAAATTTTAAATACTAACCCAGTGGTTCACAACCTTCCGAATACTGTGACCCTTTCAAACTGTTCCTCATGTTGTGGTAACCCCAACCATAAAATTATTTTCATTGCTACTTTGCAACTGTAATTTTGCTCCTGTTATGAATCATTATGTAACTGTCTGTGCTTTCTGATGGTCTTAAGCAAACCCTATGAAAAGGTTGTTAAACCCTCAAAGGAGTCATTTCTCACAGGTTGAGAAACCACTGTAACTAGCCTATAATCTAGAATGTTTAGATGGGTTCGTTAGAAAAAGCATTGGGTTATTCATTTTGAATTGGCAAAATTACTCTTAAGAAATTTCTATGAGGAAGTTTGGAAGTCTTTTTAAAGATTTTAAAGGATTTGCTTTCATTATTTTTTAAATGTGTATTTGTGTGTATATGCGTGCACTTGCACAAGTCATGTGCTGAGTGCAGGTGCCCTCGGAGTCCAGAAAAAAAAATGCTGAATTCCCTGGAGCTGGAGTTACAACCGGGTGTGAACAGCCCCATGTAGGTACTAGGAACTGAACTCTGATTTTCTGCAAGGGCACTATATGCTCTTAACCACCGAGCCATTTCTCTAACCCAAAAGTTGGAAGTCTTGACAATGTGTGTAATGTGTATATGTGCATATGCCTGTGTTTGAGGTGGGTTGTCCTGTATTCCAGGCTGGCTTTGAACCTTCTATAGCCAAGGCTAACATTGAACTCCTGAACCTATTTCCACTACCCCCCAAGTGTTAATATTATAAGCATGTACCACCACACCTGGTCTTAACAATATTTGGGAATAAAAGAAAAAATATAATTAAAAGATCATAATTGGCAGCTAGAGAGATGGCTCAGCAGTTAAGAGTGCTTATTCTTGGGTGGTGGTGGCACACGCCTTTAATCCCAGCACTCGGGAAACAGAGGCAGGTGGATCTCTGTGAATTTGAGGCCAGCCTGGTCTACATAGTGAATTCCAGGTCAGCCAGAACTGTTACACAGAGAAACCATCTCAGAAAAACAGAAAACAAACAAACAAAAGGTACTTATTCTTGCAGAGGATCCCAGGTGCCCAGCATCCATGTTAGTGACTCATATATGCCTCTACCACCAGCCCTAAGGGGATCTGGTGCCTCCTGCCTCAGGCCTCCATGGGCATCTGTATTTATGTAATAATTTTTTTTAATTATATTAATCTACATTTTGATGGCTATTTTTAATCTCACAGTTAGCTCTTAGTTTAAAACAGAAGTTTTTAAATCCTTTTCCAGAGGACAGGAGGGTTTTGGAGGTGCCTCAGGGCCATTAAGGACAGTCACACTAATGCAAATAGTTTAGGCCCTTGTTATTATGTCTACCTTTATTCAATTTTAATTGTTTAAACCTATAAAGTACTACAGTTGTTCCTGGTTTATATATGAAATTTGAAATTTATGCCCTGACAGTGCTGAAGCATGCATGGGCAGCCCATACATGGTGGTTCTGTTGAACTTGTCCATATTGGGTTCCATGGTCTAAGTTGATGAGGACGACCGACCAGGTCTCTTCCTCTGGTTTATATATAGAACTATCTAAATATAAGCATTCAAAACACATTTTTTAAAACAATTTTGATGTATAATTAACATAAAAACTATACAAGTATGTAAAATTTGGTAAGTTCTGGTGTATATCTGTCTGTAATGCCGCGGTGGTTTGAACGGGAGCATCTGCCACAGGCTTAGCTATTTGAACACTTGATCCCCAGTTGGTTTCACTGTTTGGGGAGGTTGGGAGGTGGTGTTTTACTGGAGGAAGTACATCACTAGCAGGCTATGGTATTTATGATCTTGTTCTGCTTCCTGTTCATTCTCTTGCTTGTGTTTACATTTTATGTTGGGAACTTGACATTGCTTCTTGTCACCGTGACTGGTGCTGGCTGCTGTGCCTCCCCACCATGATGGACTCCTATTCTGCTAGAACCGTAAGCCCAAATAAACTTTCTTCTGTAAGTCACTGTGGTCATGTGTTTTATCACAGCAACAGAGTATGGTCTTTTGCTATTGAGCCTTTAGAATTTGCTCAGACTTTGTGATTTGAGATGATTTAAATATATTCCATATACTATTTTAAAAATTGAATTGCAAAAAAGAATCACTATTATGGGTACATTTTGCTATTGTGTTATTGAGAACTATCGTCCTACCATTTTTGTCTGCTTGATTTGTCAGTTTCTAGGAGATACTAAAATCTCTATAAATTTGCCAAATTTTATTCTATGTATCTTGAACCCATTTTCTAAGTACATATAAATATAATTGATATATTTCTTAATAACCTTCTTTATTGCTATTCATGTTCACTGCCTTGAATGTTATTTTGTTCTTTTTGTTTTCATCATCATTATTATTATTATTATTATTATTATTATTATTATTATTATTATTAGAGTTTTGTTTTGGAACTCACTATGCAGCCCTCACTGACCTGGCTTTGTTGATGTTTAGTTTGTATTATGTAAGTGTGCATGCACACACATATGCCACAACATGGATGTGGAGGTCAGAGGATATTTTTCTGTCAGTTCTGGGTTCTGGGGACTCAACTCAGCCTTCACCAACTGAGCCATCTCACAGCCTGGTTTTATCTTAATAACAACTAATTATGTATATGTTATAAATATCAAGTATAATTTAAATGATTATAAAGTTAACACCCATGTAACAACCAAGAAATAGAGCACATAGGTGGCTATCCCACACCTCCTAAGTTCCTGGAGGTCACTGTCATCCCGACTTTTATGTCAGTCACTTCCTTAGTATTTTAAAGAATTAGGGATTTTTCATGAGCGTGCCTGAACCAATATATGTGCCTCTTTTTATAAACATGGAATTACAGTATCCATGCTATTTTAATGTTCCTTTTGTTCACTGTTATGATTGTGCTGTGCACCCATGTATGCTAGGCCTAAGCCATCCGTTTTCATTGCTGTAGAGTTTTCGCCTTTCTGTTGTGCTGAGGATTGGCATCTGAGTGGTTTCTAGGTCTCAGCTATAGTGAACAACGTGCTGTCAGCACATGTCCTTATGCACATATGCAATATATATCTAGCATATATAGCTCAAACCGAACATGCTGGATCTCAGCAGCAATTGTTTCTATGTACATAGAAAAAAATTCAGTATCTACTCTGAACTCTATACAGTTCCACAATTAGGGTACATGTGTTCTTGTTCTTGTGGGTGTGAAGAGGTAAACTCCCTGAACTGGGTTAATCAATGAGATACACTCAGTTTAAAAGGGGGGAATATATATATCATCTACTTTAGAAGCTAATGGTAAGACAAAGACACACAGACTCAGAGAAATGCTTGCTCCCTTTACCATATAGGAATGTGCTATTCATTCCAGGCCCAGGCCCTAGCCAGCCTCTGCTTCCTTCATGTCATCAGTTTCTAAGTGTCAAAGAGGAGGGAGAGTGGTTCAGGAATTTCCTGTGAGTACCAACTGAATGGTTTAAATTTTAAAATTCGTTTTAAAAATACTTGAGACGTTTATCATAAAGGGATGTTGAATTTTGTCAAATGCTTTTTCAGCATTTAATGAAACGATCATATGGTTTTTTCTTTCAGTTTATTTATATGATGGATTACATTGATAGATTTTCATATGTTGAACAAGCCCTGCATCTCTGGGATGAAGCCTACTTGATCATAATGGATAATTTTTCTAATGTGTTCTTGGATTCGGTTTGCCAGTATTTTGTTGAGGATTTTTGCGTCAATGTTCATGAGTGAGATTGGCCTATAATTCTCTTTTTTGGTTGAGTCTTTATGCGGTTTCGGTATCAGAGTAACTGTAGCTTCATAAAAGGAATTTGGCAATGACTCTTCTGTTTCTATTTTGTGAAATACATTAAGGAGTATAGGTATTAGGTCTTCTTGGAAGTTCTGGTAGAATTCCGCATTGAAACCATCTGGTCCTGGGCTTTTTTTGGTAAGGAGGTTTTTGATGACAGCTTCTAATTCTTCGCGACTAACAGGTCTATTTAGATTGTTCACCTGGTCCTGGTTTAACTTTGGTATATGGTATTTATCTAAAAAAGTGTCCATTTCATTTACATTTTCCAGTTTTTTGGCATACAGGCTTTTGTAGTAAGATCTAATGATTCTCTGAGAAGCCAAGGACAATGGCATGGGGTTTTGTTCCTACTTCATGTTCTGGCTTTGTGGGAGCCTAGCCAGTTTGGATGTTCACCTTCCTAGACCTGGATGGAGGGGGAAGGACCTTGGACTTTCCACAGGGCAGGGAACCCTGACTGCTCTTCGGACTGGAGAGGAGGGAGGGGAAGAGGAGTGGGGGGAGGGGGGAGGGGCGGGAGGAGAGGGAAGGAAATGGGAGGCTGGGAGAAGGCAGAAATTTTTTTTTCAATAAAAAAATAATAAAATAAATAAAAAATAAAAAAAAATACTTGAGACGACACTAGTTGGGCAGTGGTGGCGCACGCCTTTAATCCCAGCACGGGGGTGGGGGTGGGGGAGGCAGGCCGATCTCTGTGAGTTCGAAGCCAGCCTGGTCTACAAGAGCTAGTTCCAGGACAAGTTTCAAAACTACAGAGAAACCCTGTCTTGAAACAAACAAACAAAAAAAAAATACTTGAGACAAAGAACTGTACTGTGTGGCACCCAACCCTAAGATTATCCTGAGGAAGGAAGAGAAAGGATGATGGCAGTGGAGGGCCTCCTTACACTCTTTCACAGCTCTTGTGAACTGTGTTGGACTTGGAGGCTATAATGACCCCATGGCCAGGCCGAAGAACAGCACAGAAGTTCCCAGTGGACATCTGGCCTGGGGTTAACTGAAAAATGGGGCTCAGGAAATCCTGAAGATCAGCAGGAGGGACATCTGGGATGGCTCTCTTCTGACCACTGGTACCTGGTAACCCAGAACCAAATGTCATGTGATAGGGAACTCTGAGGAGATTCTCCTGCTGGCATCTGTCCCTCTCTAATGTCACAGACCTTTCCA